TGCTTAGCATAAGGGTCAATGGCCACCATACCATGTTCGTAAGTGAGCCAATGCATTATCCCATTAAAGATCAAGGGGCTGGTGCCAGGCTTTAGCATTAATCGAACAGGCTGATTGAGAGTCCGCGATATCAGCATCCATTTACCTGTGTTTGAAGAAAAGATTGCAAAAGTGAGCAATTCAGACACCTTATGAGGCTCAGTAAGCAATTCAGACACCGTAGGAGGCTCTTTAATAAACACCACCGTGTAGCTTGTAACAACATTTAGCTCATTCACTTGGCTAACAAGCCCCTCGCTGGTATAATATTCAATATTTGATTGTGGTGGGGGGTCCAGGGTAACCCAATGCCCGTTGACCACATCACAGACATAGTAGGCACGTGGTTCCATTAAACAGAACAAAACCAACCCGTTGCTTGCTGCTAAGACCTTAAAGAGTTTTGGATAGTTTTCTTCTTCTTCATAAGAATAAAGATGCAAAAGAGATAAATTTTTGGATATGTACACATCATGACGCAGACGATTGACGACTTTCTGAACGTCCGATGCATATATGTATCTATAAAAGATTCTGCCATTCATACTTCGAGAAATATAGGAGTGAGAAAAATAAGGATCGGAAATGAGAAAGAACCAGTACTTGCACACACATTTGGACCTAATGATCGATTTCAGAGGCAGTCTTAAAAGAACTTCTAGCTGCAGCCACTCAGGAATGTCAGGAATCTCATACTGGAACTTGTGAGCATCAATAACCTGTACGTGTACAAGATAAGTATTAAAATGTGGTAATGAAATCATTCAAAGAAAATGACAGTGAAGTTTACTTTATGATGCGCAAGATAAGTACAAAGATATATATATATATATATATATACTACATCAATAAAATGAACATTTTGTATCAAAGTTAAATTTTTATACCATGCTCATGAGTCATGACATAAAGAAAGAAAGAAAGAAAAAATGTTGTATGAATTAGGGATGGCAAGATAAACATATTTGAAATTAGGTTATATGATTATGCAGTTAAATAGTAATAAATACCAATGCTATGTCATTATTAAAAATTGTGAGTGAAAAGCAGAGAGTTTAATTATAGAAGCTACAAATAAACATTGTTAACTTTTGGTTTAATTAATAAGTCACCACTTTTATTTCTCACAACTATTAGGATTGGTTAAGAGAGAGACAATATAGATTAAGATCGTCTATCAGCCTCTTCTTGTGTTTGGATAATTAAGAAAACAAAAGAAACCAAGAATAGTGATAACCCCTTCATTTGATAAAAACAATTAGAAGAAAAATAAATAACTAATGATTTAGGAATTTATTTTTTTTATGCAAAAAGAAAAAGAAAAATAGGGATAATAATAACAAACTCTCATATATATATATATTTTTTTCTTCTAGGTCTCCTTGCACAAAGGGCAATCAAAATGGTATTCAAGGGGTTGGTATGCCCTCCTCCTCCCTCATATTGATTTCTTTTCCCTCCTCATTTGTAAGCCAAATACAATATCAAGTCTTACTTATCTTTGGCCTTTCTTTTCTTCCAAGTCCTTCACTCTAAACAAACTTATCCATCCACCCAGCAAAAGAAAAGGGGGAAAAACAAAGAAAATTTTATTTATTTAAAGATTTAATTGCACTTAACCTCCTATATTGTTGCTTTGTTCTCCATAACCTTCCTCAACTATGTTTTGGCAATAACTCAAAAGGAGGTACTTTACTCCCTTATTTTTAAGTTAGCCATTAATAAGAAGGTAAAAGGAGATATTTATATTTTTAACAATTTATCAATTATAAAAGTACAAAATTATCAATACGGGCGTCGTTTTGGATCATCAAGCCAAAGACCTGTTGCAAAACAACATGATAAGGGTTTCAAAGCTATAACAGAAGGGCAATCAATACAGGTTCAAGCCTGGGTGTGAGCAAAAGTGTGTGTTAGTACTTACCAAATTTCTTGTGTTTTGCCTCTTATACAATGTATGTTTCATATATATGGTTATCCAAAAAATTAAAGGAGTTGAATTCTTATATAAATAGATCATAGTTATAGTTAACCAAAATCAGAATTTTTACGAATCAAAACTAGGGCACGATACGAATTTACTCTGTAATCAACACAACATGAATTAATTGCTCTAAGATCACAAATTATCATCAAGTTTTAATTTATATAATCTCTCTACACGATACGAATTTACTCTGTAGGGTTAAGTGAAATTTGTTTGTTTCTTTACCCCCAAATAAAAATTTACTATTTTATGAAGAATACGTGGTTATTCATGTGTCAAATATAACGAGTCTCATTGTAAAATATAAAGTAATTTTTTTCTTAAAATATAAGGTATACATTTGTTTTATATTTCAAATTGCATCTTTGTAAATACTATTTGACAAAAAAATTGACTTGACAATTTTTAATATGTATATTATATTTTAAAATATAAGGTCAAGTTACTACCTTATATTTTAAAATATAAGGTCAAGTTACTACCTTACGGAGTTGGTCTAGTGAGGGGTAAAAAAATTAACTTGGCAATTGAGTTAAATTCATATTTATCAAGTTTCTAATATATACCAAAAAAAAAAAAAAAAAATCATCTCCAATTACTCTCTCACTAGACGTTATCCAATAAGCATCTAATGGTGATGATTAATGCCACCTCCTCAATATATTCTTGTCATTGCCAAGTCAGCAAATGAAGAAAGAAATTTACTCACTGCATTTTGTTTTACCATATGTACTAATACCACTCTATACGTCATACTTTATACAATATATTATAAAGTATAAGACTTAAAACTAATGATCTATCTAACTCCCTACAACAAATAAAATACATTTTTTACTTCTTCTTTTTGCACAAGGAAAGAAATCTTTCGTAAATCTTCTTTATTATTTTGTTCTTTCCTGGTATATCATTTGTTCTTCTTCTATCCTAAATCTTATCAAAAGCTGAATGATTATTCGTATAAAAAAGAAAGATTCACAAATTTACTTTTTAATCAAAATAATAATTTCTCTTTTAATTGTTCTTCTTCTTATCTGCATCGTTTTCTATAGGTTTTTTTTTTCTAGTTTGGATCTGGGTTTTTTTCGTTTTTAATATTTTCATTTTTTCTTCTAGGGATGTTCAAATTTCAATCAACTCACCCATGAAGTGAAAGTCAAATTCAATAAATAATAAATATGTTATATACGGAAGTTGTATGTATATGATAGGTATTTGTTAATTGTTATAATAATCAAAACTAATGATCTATCTAACTCCCTACAACAAAGACAAGAAAAGAAATTTAAAAGAAAATAATTTGTAAAAGCATGAAAAAATTATAAAATATTACAGTTTTTACTCTAGATTTTGTACAAATCAAATTATTAAATTTGACTACATGAAACTTACTGTGAATCCCAACAAGAAAGACAAGAAAAGAAATTTTAAAAAAAATGCAAAAGCATAAAAAAATTATAAAAAATTGTAGTTTTTGCTCTACATTTTGTACAAATCAAATTATTAAATTTGAGTACATGAAACTTAATGTGAACAAGAAGGAAAAAAAAAAAAAAAGATGATGTGGTTATGGAAAACTAAAATGATAAAGGAAACAAGTTATAGAAAACTGAAAATATAAGAAAATGGAAATGGAATATTTTATGAAAACAAACAAGAATAGTAATAATGTCTATTTAAATTAAAATTTTAAATAATCACATTATATTTTATGTCATTTTAAATTAAAGTGTTAAAATCATCAATAATGTCATTTTCCATTAAGATATCATACATGCCTCTGTCTTTCCACTTTAAGTCACTTTCTAAGTAAAATAATATAAATCATTGAAGGCGAAAAATAAAATCGAAATTTAAAATATAATATATGTCTTTCTTTTTTCACTTTAACTCACTTTTAAATAAAATAATATATAATCATTGAAGGCAAAATAAAATAAAATCACAATTCACGGTCCAACAAAAATATTTGACCAAGGATGGGAGTATAATTTTCGGAGAGACTCGTGTGGAGGTGTGAGTGTAATTTATCTGGTCTCAATTCGATCGGACAAATCAAATATTAATAATTCGTAGTCCATAATTCATTAAATTAACAAATTCAATATGAATCATGATCAATCTTATTTGAACAATAATATATAATTTGTTTATTATGCAGTTGATAAAATAAAATAAAAAATCAATTAAAATTACTAGTTCAAGTTTTTCAAATTTTCATTTTTAAAATTATTTTCTTCCTCTTATTGATTTTTTTTTCTTTTCTCTTTGTTGTTTTTCTCATTAACTGAATCAAATATGAAAATTTTCTTCTCAGTTTTATTATTATTATTATTATTATTATTATTATTAATTTTAGCAAGACTAATACCTCTTTAAAAGGAGAAAAGCTTCTTACACCTTTAATAGTTTATGCCATCAACTAATTATATCATGTCACATAAATAAAAATATTTTATTTTAATAAATCTTATCACTATTTAATAAACCAATGAAACCATTTCATCAGCACAATTAACAAAAATAAATAAATAAATAAATAAGTCATTCCATATCCAATAAAACAAAAAACTCATAATTTTGTGACCCCTAATTCCCAAATGAGTCCTAATTGCCAATGAACCAACCACCATCCGTGCATAGTCCTTCTAGTTCTTTATGCATTTCAAGACCCTTGTCTCAATGATTTCTAAAAAATAAAAAATAAAAACAAAGATGTATGAAATGCAAATTGTTTGAATTAATTTATTGGCAATTAGGACTCATTTGGGAATAGCTATGATTGACAAAAACATTCCAATTCCCATCCTCTGCATCACAATAATAAATTGTTTATATGGTTTTGGGGTTCAAAATTATTTGAATGCCAAATAGATTCCAATACCGGATTCTCTTAAACAGCAGGCTAGTGCCATCCCATGTCTGTTTCTGATAACAATGCATCAATGTGGACAACCAATATGTAGACAGGAGATGCTGCTTTCCATATTTTTTATATCACATTAAAAGAAAAATTAATCGACAAACCTACACCAAAACTCGATGCAAAGAACTTATTTACAACTAACATTAGCCAAAATCAAGTCCTGCTTTTGTAAAATCTACACAAAATTGCAAACATTAGCAAGCTAAACGTACTCGACAAGGCCAGAAGCCAGTAGTATTTGTCAAGCCGGGCTTCTCTCATGTCATCAGAGAACCAGTTGTGTTGTGCTCCTCTTGAACTCGTAAAATTTTCGATGACAGAGATCAGTAAGGCACTCAAGAAACTTCCTACCCCGAAAACACTGGTGTATAGAGCTATGCCCATAGTTCTCATTTTTATAGGGACTTCATTGTAGAAGAACTCTTGCATCCCAACTACAGTGAAAATGTCCGAAATTCCCAACAGTATGTATTGCGGTAGCAGCCAAAAGATGCTCAGTGGCACTGTTTCTGATTGTTGTTCCGAATTTCTCATATTTCTGCTAATCTCAAGCCTCTTTGTTTCAACTATTGCTGCAATCGCCATAGCTATGATTGACAAAAACATTCCAATTCCCATCCTCTGCATCACATTAATACCTTTCTCATTGCGCGTGATCACTCGAGCAAGGGGGATAAAGAATACCTCATATAAAGGCATCAAGATAATTATAGACACTGTGATTGCACTCTGTAGCATTGCTGGTGGGATCCTGAAATTACTTCCAATGTTCCGCTTCATTGTCACGCCTTGTTTGGTAAAAAATGTGGCCGGCTGTTGGAAGATCACTGCAAACAATAGAAGTGTTGTCCATATAGGCAAGAGACGCAATATAACCTTTGCGATTTCAAGCAGATGAATGCCTTCATTTGTGGTCTCATCTAAGCAATCAACGCCGTTGAGACCTTGATGACAAAGTGGTTTCTCTTGCAGCCTGCAGAGAAAACCCGTCATTAGTATTAATTCGGTTCAGAATACGAATCCTTTTTTGAAATCAATAGAAAGAATTTACTCTAGCTCGACCACATTAGATTTGTTATCTGATATGGTGATTCCACCATTCAGTATCTTTGACGCGGTTGCTTTGATGAATTGAACTATGTTGTCGAATGATTTCATATCAATGCTCTTGTCCTGATTGTATGTATAATATCGGCTCCCCAGAGAGAAAAATGCAATTGATATAGCCATTGCCATTGTTGGGATAGCGAATCCTAATCCCCATCCTAATGTGTCTTGGATATAGGACATGAGTGACACGCCCAAAAGGCTGCCACTACAAATACCAAAGTACCACCATTGGAAGAACAAACTCTTCTTGTTAGAACTCTGGTCATTTTTGCTGCACGGCAATTCCTCTTCATCTTCAAGTTGATCTGCTCCCAAGGCTTGCAAGGACGGGTTATATCCACCTTGGCCGAGTGAAATTACGTAGAGAGACCAAAATGGGGATGAAGTGGAGCTTGTTTTGTTTGTAGGAATCCAAGGCCACACCATTGTTGTTGATGTCAATGCTAGAAGCCCCTGTATGGAAGAAATCAAGAACATGTCACAATTCATAATATACTCTATGCTCCTTGCAGTGTATACTAGTAAAAATGTATATAAATTCACACACATTATACATGTGACACAATAAGATAATTGCTAAATGAGAACACTAATCCAGTTTATCAGTAATGGAGATTTGTGTATTAATTGACTAGGATACCAATTTTTGTAATGGGATCATGTCCGGCCAATTCATAAGTCGTCTTTTCTTTCGTTTCTGTTTCCTAGCTTTGGATAGCAATGTTATGCATCACTACTGCCTGTTCTGGAATCACATTCCCTCATTTTTCTCGTTTTATCTGAAAAAATAATTATATCATTATCGTATTAAGTTAAAAACAATCCCTTCCACGTGATTTTGTCAAATGTTGTTACTTTTATCTTCATATTGAATAATGGAAGTGGTGATGACTCAGGCTCCATTATCCTAATGGAAACCCTCGTCCCCTTGTTACATAGAGTTGGCTATAGTCTCTTGGTGACAACCAAGAGATCTCATGTTCAACTTTTTTCGGTAATTGCATAGTACATGTGGAACGAGGGGCTGCATGTTCTCGACTATGGGGCATTTTAAAAGATCCGGCACCACCATCGTCCCAATATAAAAAATTCCAATTTTTTCAGGACTTTTCCCATACATGCAGCCGACATTTTAAAGGAAGCAGAAACACCCTCCGTTGGTGAAAATAAAAAAAAAAATAAAATAAAGAGAAGGAAGAGTAAGTAACTGACCACAAAGTAGAGTAAAGAAGAGGCTAAAATGGTGGTATAGCGATCCCAATAGGAGTCAGCAAGGGGTGCCACAAGGAGCGGCATCATGGATGTAAATCCACACCAACTGTTCACCGTCTTGGCCGCCGATGAATTGCTCATCTTCACAACATCTGTCAGGTATGTCACCAAATTTGATGCCACCCCTTTGAATGCAAACCTCTCCATACCAGCAATCACTATCACCAATCAACCAAACACAAAATCAAAATCATAAAAGTACTTATTGTACATTCTCAAAAATAAAAAAATAAAATACCCAAATCGTAACAAACAATTTCACATGAACCAATTAAGGTTCCCTGGTCATTGGAGTTGGCATATATGTAGAATCAAATCACACATACATGTGTGTGTCAGTGTGTGTGATTTGGAAAATAAATGAAGCAGCAGTAGTATGATTCGATCATTACCTATGAGGAGCATACATGGTTTGTTGAGTCCTAATTTTTTCCGACCGCCAGCCATGAGAGAGTGAATGCAAAGCCAACTCTGAAATTAAATGAATTATAAGAAAGAAAACAGTGACCAAAAACAAAAATCAAAACAGACTATGAATTTTTGATACTGTTAGTTCCAATGACTGTCAACCTATAAACAGACCACTGTACTTACCACTTTCATTTGTTGGTTCCACCACTACAAAAATTTCCATTTCTTTAATATTATCTAAAAAGTCTCATCTTTTTGGTTTAATGGTACACTAGACCATCACTGAATTTGATCGTAACAAAAGTTGTTGATTACAAAAAAGAGAAAACGCCATTACTCTCTGTCAGTTGGCTGTGTCGTCACGACGGGGTTATCAAGAACACTAACGTGTCGACATGCCAAAAAAAAAAAAAACATACCTTAGTTTTTCTTTATTTATTGCTGTTGCAAAAATTGACAGTTTTTGCTCAATTGACACATGGAAAATGTGGACACGCGATCAGTCCATTTATGTGACACCTCTTCCAAATTCAGAACCCAAAGATCAGAATGTTGATAAGTTTCACATTCATAAAATGAAAATCTATTAATTATGAAGCTCAATTGAGCAATTACCATTGCGCATATGAAATTTCTTTTTATGTTCGTCCAACACATTTTGCTTCATTGTATTATAGTCGAATTAATTTTACTCACATAAAATAGTCAAATTTATTTATGAATATGAAGACGACGAAATGAGAATATTTAAACATGTTATGGAGTCATATTCTAATATCAAAGTCTTTATCAGCTATATTTCTGCAGACTAACAAACGCATTTTCTACGTCATGGTCTTAAAAAGGAGACTATGCCAAGAAACCAGTGAAAAAAAATTGAATGCGTCCTTAACTTGCTATGCAATAAGTTGACACATCAATCACATCGATCGACCACCGCATGATGCATGGCGTGGTTTTAGAATCTGTGAATCACTTGGTGCTGCTATGAATAAAGAAAGACAAAATTTACATCAACGTAGATGATGTATCACTAATTCAAGTCTTTTTATTATTATTATTTTTTAATTTCCGGTAAACATCACTAATTCAAGTTGTGGACTAATCAAACATGCTGTTTGCTTTTTTAAAAAATTAGTATATAATAATTAAAGGAGTTCTTAACAAGACAAAATAATATATATAAAACACTCTTAATGTGTAAGATTCCAAATAATTGGCTGCGAATATACTTACTTTTCCACAACATGAGAGAGGATAGGGATTGCTCCAAATTTGGTGGTTTGGTGAGATGGAAATCACTTTGCAATACAACCAAAATAAATCACTTTCCTTTTGACATCACCACAGTAGATAATTCTAAACTAATTAATTAACTTTATTTTTTTTATAATGGAATGTGTTTGCACGCTAATTAATTCTTTAGAATATTTACAATCACTCTCAAATCACGACTATCGGGTAAATACAAAAAGAACAAGGTTATTTGATGGAACGAATTACTGTGATTACTCACACATCTAAACAATTACAATTATTGGCACGTTTTGATTTTCATATTTGGTGGCGAATGCTTTGGCTTTCTCAAAGGCTATTAAACGACACTGTTGAGTGGTCAGGGCTAAGCATAATGATAGAGAGAATAAATTGAGTTGACAAAGAGGAAAGAAGCACAAAGCAGACAGTGCGCTCACACTAAGGTACGTACGTTGGATTCCTTGTCGCACACAACACTAAAACACTGTTCTGCTTCTCAATGTTCAGGTACATGGACCTAAGTTATGTACTGATCGAGTCATTCTTTGATATTGAAGGTTATGGAGGATTGTTATTTATGATTGATAAATCTCAGATAATGGAGGACCATGTCATGTTTACTAGTGAACCTTATCATATTCATTTAATATTTTTGTTACAATTATCTTTTCTTAACTAAGTTCCATGGAATGTACGTGCCCGTACAAAAATTTGTATAGGGAGAGGATGGATTTGGAATATTAGCAAATCTCTTAAGTCATTTAAACAATCATACCATCTACGGAATAACTTATAAGGGTGTGATTACATGAACTATTTGTGAATGTAATTTTGCCAGTCACCATTAATATACTTTGTTTGGTAAGAGAGAGAGAAAACAACTACACTATAACACAGAGCTGAACTAGTTCTTCCAAATGAAAAGCTCGGCTCCCCATCCACTAGATGGTGGAAGTGGAAAAAATTGAATGAAAGGAATAAAAAAATAATAGATGATATAACAATTTTCCTTTTTTTGATTAAAAAGAAGGGAACGAAGAAATTTATATATATATTTTTAAACTTGTATTATTCATCTCTTCTATCCTTTCTTGTAATCAAACAATATCATAAAACAATTAGAGATTTTACAAGACCATTAAAAATTGTAGTATAGGGTAATCTCTTTGATCTCTCAATGTGGAGGTTGAGACAAATTCCCAAGCCTTTTTGCCTTAACATGGGAGATATAATGAATCTAGTAATTATTTTCACAACTAAATTAAAGATTGGCTCGATTCACACTCAATAAATTTATATAAACTCTCTTTTCGTCTAAGACATTTCTTCCAAAAAGAAATGAATTTTATCAGCAAGCAAGATAAACATTACGTACACACATTCTAAAAGGAAACAAGAATCCTTTCAAAGAATTTATCAATACGTTATACGTACACATTCTAATAAAACATCTTTTTTTATTTTTTATTTTTAAAAATTTTGTCTGAAGGGTATTATAGGTATTTTAGTATTCAAATTCACAAAATGTCTTTATTTGCCCAATTTTAAAAAGATAAAGAGTTTTTTTTTAAACCCCAGAGCTATTTGCACTTTGTATATATATATATAAAGGGGATTTTTTGCATACAATTTTTCTTTCCTTATGCATAGACCAATTCAAAACATTCCAATGTAGTGGGATTTTTTAAAGATCTAAAGGGGTATTTGCACATTCTGGATAATGATTAACTAATATTTTTTATAATATTTTACATCAAAATGAACAAAACATTAATCATATGAAAAATATTGTACAACGGAAATAAGATTAAAACCTATAAAATTATATATTGAAAAATTAATAATCAGAATAAAAAGGGGGTGAGTTGAGTGTAATGCCAAACCTGTTTGCTTTTAACACCGTGCTCATGAGCTCAACGAACCATGATTCAATCACCACGTTGATAATCAGAATAATATTCCTAGACAGCAAAATCTAATTAAAGCCCATCAACAGCATAACATTAATTATTATAAGAACAACATTCACTGTCTCTTTTGTAGCCGATTCAATCGCGCAAGATATAAATAATAATAAATAAATTGCCACAATTTTGTACTCCAAGAGATGTAATTGTATTGAAAATCGGAGAATGGAGCTAACTGAAATTTATATTAGTTAAAAGAGAACACACACAAATTTATATAAGTATATATATATATATATATAGATAGAGGGAGAGAGATGATGGGGGCATTGAGAGTGAAGGTTGTTGAGCATCACTCGGGTGTGGCTTGAAACGTGTTGGAATTTTTCAAACTAGTAATCATGAACATATTGATAAGTACAAATAATGGTCACATAAACACAACTAATCGTATTGTACTACTACGTAATACATAATATTTGGTTTTACTTTGTATATGGCGGTTCTAAACGGAAAATAATAATAATAAAAAAGTAATATTTGATATTATTTTCTATATAGTAATTCCTCTGTCAATTTGAAGTTTTTCATTTCACAAAACACTGAAGTTTAAGAAAGTTTATTGGCAAAAGTGCAAAAAAAAAAAGTTTAACCAATTGAGCACAATACGTGGTATATAAGTGAGTAAGTTAGTTCCTATAGTTTTAAAAGTGAGCAACTTGCCCCTTTGCATTTCACCTCCACCCATTTTTCACCCGATGTCATTATGTATTTATCACACTATCCCCTATAACCTAAGTCATATAAAGCAGGAGCGAGTGCGAGTGCAAAAAATCGAAAAAAATTTAAGTCAAGTGGAAGGCAGGGGCAGAGCTAGAATTGTAAAGTGGGAGGGGCTAAAGATATAAAAATTTAAAGATAAACACAATAATGCTTATGACAAAGATATGTTTAAAAAAAAAAAACGATTTAGCTTTGGTTACACCAAAAGAGCTATTTGAATAGAATGAATATTCTCTTATAAGATAAGTGAGATTAACTGTTGTTGTTGCTTCTTTCTTATGTTCAGAGAGTTACTCATTGTTGGACTGGGCCATTTGTTATTTTTGTTTTAATTATGAATTGGGCATTGGCTGGGCTATGACTGATTGGGCTGGACTATGACTGGTGGAAGGGAACGATAGTGAGAGCGTGCAGAACGCAAGAGCGGGAGCAGCGCGGAACGCAAAAGCGGCACCTGTTTAGAAAAATTATGTAATTTAGCATATAACTAACTTTTTTTTAATAAAAAAATAAAATAAAATAGAAGCAAAATATCTTAAATGTCCTCTATAATAAACTAACGTGGCCCTAAATTGACTTAAGTGTTGTAACTCCTCATGTAAGCCTCTGCCTGGTTTATATGAATCAGGCTGAATGAGTTTCCTACTGCTTTTTTTCTACATAACTGAAGAACATGTGTCCATTAACTTTTTCCTCATCTGCATTCTTATTTGTTCATTTTTTGTAATACTTCCTTATTTGTATTAATGGTCTGGTTCAGTAGAGAGCAGAAAGACGAAAAATCATTTAGAGCACAAAACTAACTAGCAACTTATTGAAGTTTCAAATAAATGAAATCCTTAAAAGCTATTTTAAGGTGGGGAATGAGGAAGGTAATGAGGTCAAAAAGGGATTTACAATCACACATTTCAAATCATATGTAAGAGGAGCTTTGACCACATACATTTCATGGTTATATCATATTCTCAGCTATATTGTATTACATTACAAACCATTTGATATAATTTAGTTTCCAAAACTCTTCTAATAGTTAGAAAAAACAGAAGTAAAAAAAATACACATAAACATATATGTATGGTCCAACAATAATTTATATATATATTATAACTTACTATAATCAAATACATAAATATGTTTAAATGTACTGACCTTGAAGGGAGAGCATAGAGAGCAAATGCAAATGGAAATGAGAGAACAAAAATAAATTTGATTAGAACAAAGGAATGCAAAAGCCTTTTTCTAAGAAGATGGGGTATACGGTCATATTAGAGGATACTTTTGAGATTAATAAAAAACTATCAACCATATGCATCACAATATGAAGAGGAGGAGAAAAAAAAAAAAAAAGAAGAAGAAGAAGTGGTTAGAGATAAAATGTAAGGGGGAAAATTATTCACTTTTAAAACTACAGGAACTAACTTGTTCACTTTTATGCCCCAAGAGGGTATTGTGCTCACTTAGTAAAACTTCGGGGGGGTTGATTGGACTTTTGCCAAGTTTATTTCATAGTGAAGCGTTATAAAACTTTTCATTGTAAACTCCTTATTTCCTTAGTACTATATTAAATATTTTGTATGTTATTTTCAAAATAAATATAATTAAATTTGAACTAACCTCTTAATTTTAATTGAAAATGGCGGACGTATGTTCCATATTAGGAATTACGAATGCTTCTCTTATGGTGCCGTACGAAGGGTTTAAACACTTGGACACTTGTCAAATACGACTAGAAGTATTCTGAAAATTGAATATTTTATTTTTTTGATTAGACACTAGTGAGACATGGATATAACAATAATATGTTTTGAACACTTTCATGATACAACAGGTAGTTTTGTAATTATTATTTTTAAAAGAATGA